CGCGACATGAGCAATTTTCTGCATTGCTGCATGGTAGTACGGGTCAAACTTCTTTCGGAACGATTAAGATCTAACGCCACTATGCCTTAGATTTCCGTCGAAGCGGATGTCGAGGTTGGTTTTAATAACAGAAGTAGGAGTCGAAGCTGACGAGGGCTCTTATTACATGGCGAAATCGCTCGAAGGTTGACACTGCCGTTACTCGGGTCTTCTACGACAAAATATCATACCTAAGGTCCAAAGGCGGAGAAAGAGCTGGATTGTGCTGTCGAGTCATTGAATGGCGCCACTCCTGGGCCGATCGAGCCCTGGATTTGATATTTGATATTTGAATTTGAATCGACTGCAGTCCCGAAGTTCAGCAAGGCATCTCAACTTGATGTGATGGAGCGAAGCATCGTTGTGTGCACACTCGGCGTTACACAATAAGCTAAATAACAGTGTCCCGTACTTCGTCGCGTCAGCACCGCGCATCAACATAATGGAATTCGTCCGGTCGAAGTAATGGACAAATTACAAGTCGAAGGCTGGCTTTGAGTGCATAGAGGTGTGGGAGCGAACCGAGTGCTCTTATAGATGTGTACGACGACAGCGTTATTTTCGAGTGAGAATATGATGTCGACCCTTTCGTATATTCTAAGGTTTTTCAGGATGACTAGCAAGCCAGGCTCAAGAATTAGGTTGCTATCCTTTTGTAGGTTGTGATCCTGGTAGGCGCGGCAACAGTATCGGGAGCGGCCGCTTTGAGTCTTTGATGATGGAGTGTCTAAGGGCAGCGAGAAGGCCATACCTGCCTCGGAAAGGGCTAACCCATTATCCAGCTTTCAGCTTTGAACAAAGCGTCAGTATCACCAGAGCTGCTTGTCCATCAGGTACGGTTTTGTCGACAGTCGCTGCTGGTATTGGAGCGCTCGCGGGTATAACGGAGAGAAAAATGACAATCCATTGGGCCATGCTGACCCTAAAGGAATTGGGCTTCACCTGGTTGAGTCCATCGAAACGCTGGAAGAAAGATTTCCTATGCGCTTTGTTTGTCCGGTTTGAAGAATTTGCCGACAGAGATGGCAAGACTCGAAAATGACACGCTACAGTCATGGTCAATAAGAAACACAAGAAACCTATCGCAGTTGGTTGGTCAGCTTTTGTGCGTGTGCAGTGTCAGGTTTGCTAAAGCTTGAGCACTGGTGGGGTTGCCTCAGAGGGGTTTTGGGAAAAGGAAGCATGCTCAGGCAAGAGCTACCAGCCACACAGAGTCAGCAGTGATGCTGGGAAAGACTTACCAAGTACCGTGGGAGGCTGCTTCTGTGTATGACCTGAGCGCTGAGAGAGGACGCAACAGCCCAAGTCCAACGATCGGAGCCGCTGTGGGAGGGCTTCTGCGAGCTTTAATCTCGACCGCAACATCAGGGCAATCGGAAGACTCCGGTCCTGATAAACGGAAGAGATGCATTGGTCTCCTCACAACTCGTTGGCGGCTAGGTTTTGCTGTGGTGTGAGCAGCGGAGCAGAGGCCCACAGCTGCGGTCTTGAAGGGCTGCCATTGGGACCATTACCAAGCCGAAGATGACCCAAGAGAAGAGATGGAATCGATGAAGAGGACGAAGAGGCCGTTGCAAGGCTTTGGAGAGACGCGCAGATGAATTGTGAAAAGTTGACAACTACGCCTTGTTGGTGGTGGGGCAAGGGTGTGGAAAGTGGTGATAGTCATTTTGGTGTTGCAGCAATGAACTTCAATTGACGCCAACGACCGTGCATTGTTCTGGGTTCACAACGCCACCCTCTACTCACTGCCTACACTACACCATTGAAGCACATGGCTTGTGCCTCCTCCCTCTTCAAAATTGGCTACCCAGAGGCTGTTTCCGCGCCTCAGCATGGTAGGCAGTACCTATGATGTCGTAATACTGAGCTCGAGTCCGCCGGCGATTTCCCCGCAGCGCAATGCCCCCTCCCGTCGCGTCGCAGTACCCGCATCCTCACCTCTGGTACTCTCTCGTCCTGCAAGTCCACTGAGATCAACAACCGGCGCGTCGACGACTAACCCTAGAGCTGTCCCTATCCCTGAGAGTGCACTCAGGGGATTTGCCACCGTTGGCAACCTGGTACGATCCGAACACTTTACAAGCCGGCTAGACGATGACTTTACGGCGATACAAGAAGCGCGATTGCAGAAGGATGCAGTAGATAGTATAGAGAACATCGAAAAGCCTCGCAAGCGGCCTACGAGGAAGTCCATTGCTGCTACAGATGAATCTGAGAAGCCTAAGCCTAAGCCTCGAGCGCGCAAGCAGAAACCCAAGTCAGACAAAGAGATTCTAGACTCAGACGATGAGCTACGACGCCCACAACGGCCTACAAAGTCGCCTTTCTTCAATGACGAACCTTCTGAGTCCGCCACCAAACCCCCAAGTGAGACTACGGATGCGCCGAAACTCACCAAGTCGGGGAAGCCACGCAAGCCGCGGGCTAAGAAACAGAAGGCTGAAGAAGAAGAGGCTGCAGAGTCTGTTGTGAAACCGAAGAGAACGAGAGTCACAAAACCTAAGAAGACGGCCGTGAAGAGCGGCAACGAACAACCCGATGACGTATCCGTTGTCTCTGCGCATTTCCAAACGGGTGTGGACAAGGATGACGGCTCGAGACCAACGTCGGTTCAGAATTCGGTAGAGACAAAAGACAGTTCAGGTGGTCATCCTGCATCTATATGGGATGTACCAGATAGTCCACGGCCTAAGAAGGCCGCTTCACTGAAACAGCGACCACCAACTTCTGTTGCAGAGCCACTGGAGCTCGAACAAGCTCTAGTGCGAAGGCAAGATTGGACGCCTCCTCGTGACACGACCACAACATCGCCAAATGCAGATTCGACAGGAAAGGAAAATATATCGCTAGTACATAATGCTGAGGATAACTTCACAAACATGCTCTCTAACTTTACCTACGCACAATCGCCCTCGGCTCAAACAACTACAAAAACGGGTTGTTTGACTGGAGAGGTGATGGCCACTACAAAAAGAAGACGTATAGAGGTAGGTGCTGTCACTGATTACCAAATCACTATACTGATGTTTGTCTTCAGTTAGTAGAGATACCCGGCAACCAGACCAACTCCCGTGAATCCTCACCCGAGAAAGGCAAAGCTCCCAAGAAAAAACCACGCACCATCACAGACCTTGTGACAGAACAATACGGTCAAAGAGATGAAGAATCTGACTCGAATAATGCATTGGGGAATTTCTTTGAGCCTCGAACATCAACAACCATGATGCCATCGAACGATATAGCTACATCGGTTACCAATTCACCCCAGAAGAAATTACCGCGTAAGCGTAATAGCCCAAAGGTGCCGGCTGAGAAAGGCGAGCCGAAGACAAAGTCGAAGTCTAAGAGAGTATCGGCTAAATCCGCTGCTAAACCCAAGCTCGTCGCCGAAAAGCTGCTCAGCCCTGCCGCTGCAATGTTACGACTTAATCAACAGGATGTGCTTTTTGGAACGTCAAGTCAATTGGCACTGGAAGAATCCCCAACAATGATTCGCCAAATCCAGTTCGCGATCAAGGAGTCAGAACAAGATGCAGATAGGGCTGATAACTATTCCTTTGTCGCGCCTTCAGCATGGTCTAGACTCACCAAGGCCAAGGGCCAGAAAGCCTTATGGGCTGCAAGTACGCGGGATGATGATGGTGGCATGTTAGAGCATATGCAAGATGTGTATATTCCCGAGCCTGACCGAACGCAAGACATCCCACTGTTAATGGATGTCACTCACAACAAGCCTGATGGTGCCCGGAACGACCATGTTGGCCCATCGTCATTTATTGATATTGATGACATACCTCACGACCCTCCTCCACCCATTGCCATCTCGTCTGATGAGCAAACACCTCCTCCTCACTCCCCAAAATCCCTTCGGCTACAGGGTTCGAGAACACAAAATTACGATATAAACGAACTGGATTTCAAAGACATCCATACCTTCGAATCAGAACTACCACCCTCGAATCAGAATGCAGAATCTCAACATACTTTTGTGGACATTGACGACTTTGACTTACCACCTTCGGCGCAGCTGCAGTATAGCCCCGCAACCAAGTTGAGGCCGCCTGCACCTACGTCGAGAACGGGTGATAGATCGCCCAAGAAACGTGGTAGACAGCCAAAGTCACAATCTACTGTTTCTAAAGCCTCTGCGTCTTCCACTCCGATACTGAAGCCATCATCCTCAAAACGTAGGGCGAAGCCGAAGGAGAAGACCGTAGTGCCATCCACTCCGCCCAGTGAACCAAGTCGGTTTATTGATATCGACGAGATTCTTGACTCGGAAGATGACGCCCTCGAAGCATTGTCTCCCACTCCACCGCGGGTCTACAAACATCTCGATGCAGAGCCGTTGCCACTCATATCTCTGTCACCTACTACATCGCCCAGCAAAGCCACCACGGGTACTGGTATCAAATCCAAACATGGCCCATTATCTGATGCAAGCCTAACGCCGGTACACTGCATACCAACCAAGATGCTAGAGTGGATCCATATCAAATCTGACATCTTTGCACAAATCACAGCGCATATCCGCTCGCTACCGCCTACCAAAGATCCTACGAAACCCACGTGGCACGAGAAAATCCTCATGTACGACCCCATTGTCCTCGAAGATTTCACGAGCTATCTCAACGATCGTACCAGCATCCGTGTGTTCAAAAAGGCTACGCAAAAGCAGGTCAAGGCATGGAACCAGCAGCAAAGAGTCAATGGCGAACCCATTCTAGCGGTTGAAAAGGGTGGCGAAGAAGACGTGTTGGCTGTCACAAAAGAACTTGAGGCACTAATGGTTCAAAGTTGGTGTGAGAGTCTAAGTATATGCTGTGTATGGGGCGAAGGACGAGGAAAGAGTGGGGCACGGAAAGGACTCTATTAGACGATACAATCATGATAATGAAATGTTGATGAATGTAACATAGGAATACATATAGTGGTAGCACCTGCCCGAACCACATCCGCTAACCCTCATTAGTCCACGCAGGTGAAAAACACGCATTCTTCTTGTTGTTGTTAAACGTAACCGTCACGCTCCTCCCATCCGCCGGTGGCGTAGAAAAGCTCCTCCGAGCAGAGTCCGACAAACTTATAGACCCGTCGGGGGACTGAGGCCACCAGGTTGACGCCAAACTTGGGTTACGATCCGTCCTCGTATCTGCATCCGTAGCCTCTCCGCTAGATCCAGGAGACATGCGCGGAAATGCAGAGGGCTCATGTGTGGGGTCGAACAGGACAGTAGCCGTTCTAGGCGTTTCGGGCCACCATCCAGACGTCGAACAGAGATTTCTTCCAGTGCCGTGTATGAAATCCGCAGGTCGAGGGTACGACTTTAGATACTCATTCTCTTGTTGAGTACTTTGCTTTACCTGCTCAGTCGCACCTTCATCTCCTTGCACATCTGCGCCTCTGATTGGAAGCTCGTGAACATGCAGAGCCTCTCGCTGCCACTCCTGGCCCGGTAAACCTGGGTGCGGCGAGCGTTGTTTGGGCTGCTCATTGATATCATATCGTTCCGAGTAGCTACCTGTTTTATTCTCGTAGTCTAGCTTCATGACCATTTCGCCGTCTTCGGCTTCAAAGCGCACGCGGACGGGTAGCCAATCTGGTATCGGTTCGCCGGACATGGCTTCGAGGGCTTCGAGGAGGGGTTTTTCTTCAAGGGCAGAAACGCCCCATAGCAAGTGGATTTTGTTGCATTCGTCAACGGCCCAGGTTTTCATGCGTTCGGCTCGGGATATCTCGGCATCGATGTCGGGTTGTATGCCTGGAGAAGCGGAGCGCAGGGCTGAGAGATGACGGATGGTTCGTTGCCATGGTCCGATGGAGATTTGTATTGGCGTATGCATGCGCAATGGTACGAGAGGTAAGTCTTGAGAGACAGAATTGGCCCATCGAAGGGATTTGGCGAGATGCAGTGCGCTATCAACGTCGATGACTCGCAGTCTTTCTGGAGATGGCAGCAATGAGAGAGCCGCTTCTGCGGGGAAATGTCGGTATAGTGTATCGGCAAGGCCACACAATAGGTTCTGTAACATCCAGTATCTTGTGCAAAGAATCATGTTCTGCACAGTATCGAATTCTAGAGTATCTGGCATAAGATCGGCGAACTCTGGCGACGCGGGAATTGGTACGATGGTGATTGCTGTTTGCATTAGCTCAGATACATGTTGCGAGAGATTGATTTGTATTAGCGACTCCATATGCGAGACTGCCGCCGCGAGTGCGCTAGTATCTTTGGGGTTTAGAATTGCCTGTCTGATCAAGCATACTATTTGAGGGCATTGGATGAAAACATGCATAATCGCCATCGATGCTCGTTGTGCTGGTGAAAGCGATATCGGTGCGTTTATGGGCGGTGGATATGTAGCCGACAAGTAGAAATCGTTATAGTAGACCGATCGCCGGCCTGCCAACATGGATTCATTGACCTTTTACATGTTAAAATGCCGACGCTTAAGTAGAAGAAGAAACTCACATCGTCAACATATGTGTTATCAATCAGATTCCAATAGTGCTCGTCATCGACTTCTGAGGCCTTACCCGACTTCATCAGTTCAGCCAGTCCAAAGGCGTGAATGGCATGGTACATAGAATCAATTCCCATGAGAGCCTAGCATGTGTGAGTAGATTGCATCCAAGCATAGCAGTCGCAGTCCCTCACCTCAGCCGCATAGTGCATCTTAGTGGCTAGTAAAAGGTCATACGTAGGCTCAGTACGAGCATTCAGAACAACAAGCTGCAATTCCCTCAAAGCCTTGGCTTTTGTGGCTTTGGCAAGCCTTCGTTTCGAGTGCATTCCATCCCGGTATGCTGCATAGCTATTCAATAAAAACTCTACAGCAAGATCCAGCATCCGATTGTGACCTATACGCGACGGCATGGTTTCAATCCAAGTACCCAGAATGGCAAGCGGCTGTTTTCCAGAAACATCTGGTCCAAGCATATCGATGTAGCGGCTGATCAGTGCGGTTTCCGGAGACGATGGTTGATATGGTACTATAATAGACTCCTTTTCTAGATGCTGAAGGTACGCTTCCAGTGCACGTTGCTGCATACTGGCCTTCTTTTTCGACGGTCTAGGCTTGGACTTAGAGGTTGGTGCTAAGGTCTGAAAGAAGCCTTGCCCATCACCCACTCGTCTTTCGGTGGTGATGCGCAATTCTGAAGATGCTGAAAAAGATGAGACCGCATCGTCCTCAGAAGAACTGAAACTATGTACCACAAACGGAACCCTTGATTTGCCATGTTTTGTTAACTGGTTCGGGTCTTGCACAATGAAAGCTGATGGTCTTCCATATGAGTAGGCACAGGGGCGATCTTTCTTCTTGCATGCACCGCATTTAGGCTTCTCTTCATCGCACTACATATGTATCAGTAAATGTCTATATATAATCAAGTTTTTCACTTTTCACGTCCGGAACCTTCCAGATAGAGGTATACAAGAGAATCTCGTACCTTGACTTTCCGCTGGCGACACGTGTCGCATTTCCCCGTTTGGGTCATTGCGGAGTTTTGAGAAAGATACAACAATCCTTCGAATGGCTATGAAGGTATTATATTCAAGCACTACTCTTGACGACCAACGTTACGGTTTGATAAGCGGAAATCTCCAGATGCTGAAGCCTAAATAAAGCTTAGATCAGATGATAAAAGATCGAACACAAACAACAGTTCAAGGATACTGAGCCAATGCAGGTAGTTCAGACAACTCTTACATTGTATCGAAACTCTCGCATTTGCCTAGGAACTTTGCAAAGAACAAGCGCGGTATACTAACACTGAAATATGACGTCGAGTTGTTGCGACGGAGGGAGGCTTCAGGCCAAACTCCAATACAGTTAGCGTGCTAGACCCTTGGCATGACTAGCTAAATATAGCAGCCTCTCCACACATAGCAGAGCAATTCACGCTCACCACATGTCCACAAATGTGCATAAATCACGTGATAATGGCATGTCCTAGTGATGGAAATTACAAACAACGATATTGAAGAAGGGAACACTCCCTTACGCAGTCTCTCTCCCAATACCAGCCTTGTACCTCGCCAAACACCTCTCTCGCGCAAATTTGTGCTCCACAATTGGTTCAGGGTACCCATTTTTCTTTGCAATCTTGGCCGCCTCACCTTTCGCCTGGTAGGGATTGTGTATCGCGGCCCCTTGCACATCCTCTAGCTCCTTGACCCATAGCCTAATGAATTCACCTTGCTCGTCAAACTTCTCAGACTGTGTCCAAGGATTAAAGATACGGAAGTATGGTTGAGGATCCACGCCTGTTGAAGCACTGAAGCCCCAGCCGCCGTTATTTGAAGCAAAATCACCGTCAATGAGGTGCGTGATGAAGTATTGTTCGCCAAGGCGCCAGTCTAGCAAGAGATGTTTGGCCAGGAAGGATGCTGTTATCATACGAAGTCGGTTGTGCATGTAGCCCGTGTGCTTGAGACAGCGCATTGCGGCATCAACGATGGGATAACCTGTACGACCTTGCGTCCAGGCCTCGAAGTGGGCATCATTGTATTCCCATTCGATGTTTGTGTACTCGTACTTGAAAGGCTTGTTCATGCTGCACGAAACTTAGTTATGGAGTGATGAAGAGGAAGCAGAAATGCATACCATACATAGGGCCAGTGAACTAAAACATGTCTGTAAAAGTCCCTCCAGGCTACTTCTCCAATCCAGCCTTTTATGCCCTCCTTGCCCCCATCGAGCTTTTTCACGCTGTTGATGTCCCTCGCCATACGCACACTCGTTCGAGCGGCTAGTGTGCCAGCTGCATGATGTGCACTGATTCGGCCAGTACTGTTCAGCGCAGGGAAGTTGCGCGTATCCTTGTACTTTATTACTTTCTCGGTGAGGAAACGTTCTAATCGATCGATAGCTGCTGCCTCGCCGGCTGGCCATAGATGATGAAACCGCTCTTTCTCTTCGGCTGTAAGAGACTTACAATCTGGAAGATCAGGGACTCTGGAATCGAAGAGCTTGGTAAATTTCTCACGGAAACCAGTAGGATTCTTCTCTGGCATGGAGCGCTCGTTGAGAAGATGAGGATGTGCATGGAGGTATGCAATCCAGGCGCGGTACCAGGGCGTGTATACTGCGTACTGTTTTCCGGTACCCGTCTTCAGACTTCCGGGTGGTACGACGCAGTCATCGTGTTGTGGGTCCATGTTGATACCTTTCTCCAACATCATACGTACTAGCCTCTCTTCCCGGCGCAGCTCGTCGGGCTCGTATTCAAGGTTACAGAAGACGCTCTTTACGTTCCACTCAAGCGCCATTTCAACCAATCGCTTTTTTATGTTCTTCCTCTCGTGCACCGTCTCAATGTACAGGGGTATGTCGAGCTCTTCTAGTTCTTGCTTGAGCAGCTGTACCGAACGAAGCTCAAAATCACACTTGGGTGGGCTGACAAGATGTGCTTCCCAGTCTTGTGGGCTCATTATCCAGACAGCAACCAGGCCAATTCCTTTACTCTTTGCGAGTTCTGCAGCTTTCGAGAGGCCTGTGTTGTCTCGTACACGCAAGTCGCGCTTGAACCAATGCATGACTGCATCGCCGTGCCCATTTTCGTTTCCGCTTTGTATCTTATCCCTCCTCTGCTTCGTATCTTTCAAAGTTTTCTCCAAGATTGCAATTGGCCGTGGAATTTCGTTAGCGTTGTACATGGCGCATCGCTCGTTGCTCATTTCTGCTGGATAGTATTGCCGATCGACTATGCCTGCTCGTTCTTCTGGCCTCGAATGGTCAAAATTACCTTCTTCCTTCTTGACAGCATCTCCAGGTGCGCCATTTTTAGAGCTTCTCACAATCGCATCTATGAGTGGCGCGCTGTTTGTGGAGGCTTTATCGAGAGGTTTGGCTATGCGTGAGCGCTTGTTGGGTGCGTTACCGGATGCGTCAGTGTACTTGTTCGCAGATTTGACATTGTGTGGAATGCCGTTAGATTTACGCTTTGGAGGCATTGTAAGGGGGCCTTTCGAAGAATGTATGAAAGGTCGAGACGATACGTAGCCCAGGTAGGTCAAGTATGCCCTATGGATTGGAAACAACAGTATAGAATCAAATGGTCTGAGAGGAGCAAAACAGCGCATGCGCAGGTACCTAGCCTCACACTGCCAGCCAACAATTGAAACCTGTACAGAGAAAGATGCAGGTTGACATCTTGTGTTCTCCTGACGCGTTAATCTTTCGCGTTGGCTTAGCACCGATCAATGACGCAGATCGTCCCTGAAACATTGAGTCGAGATCGGTTGGCCAGATTAGCGAAGCCAGCCCCTGTCAACGTCCCCCGCGATTCAACGGGCGCACAGTTTTATAGCTGTGGCCACGTCTCGACACGCATCGTTGGTAACGATTCCCATATGGTTTGCAAGAGGCTGCTACGCGTCCAAGGTCCAGTAAACAGCTAACGGAACCATCTCGGGAGAGAGGTAGGGACTGGTGGGGTCAAGCCGGAGAATGGGCCATCTGCGCGCGTGCTCTTTCTGAGTCTGTTGTTTCCGACCCCAACTCCATCGCGTGAGTTTTGATTTCAAAACACAACCCGGCTTATGTACGAGGCACATTTGAAGCGACGACGGAGCCCGGTAGAGCGAACATGACGCAATTCTGACATTCTGAGTGTTCGTCCTGATATGTGACCGCTGGTGGATAGAGGCTCTACTAGCCGCTATCGTTCTATCTTATGTCTCTTTGGGGGGGCCATTGGTAATCATACGTAATCGGCCCAAGCACGTAGGGCTACTATAGATATTTTGAAGCATGGAAAGGTCGGTGTAATCTTGCGTGAGATTGAAGAGTCGACCGATGACCGACGGGACGAGAACTTGGCGGCGCGCCTCAGCAATGCCGAGCGGAGAGAAGAGGTCGCAAATGATACTTGGGCTAGAAGCTATTGATATTTCCAGTATGACGGCATAGCGAGGGTCATGGCCCGTAGTACAATTGGAAGGATGAGGATGCAGGCCGTTATGGAAGGCTTGGTGGCGTCATAATTAGGCCCGGCCCAGCACTGCCATTGGCCCCCGGCAAGCGAATAGCTTAGGGCAAGGCAGACATGATTGGGATACGGATTTAATCCTGGAAGCAGCATCGCAGCTCCACGTGAATCATTATTTTTATAGCTGAGATAAGATTGCGATGGCTGGGCAACCTGGACGTCGGTTGAGGCCCGAGGAGGTGGTAGAGGATACGATTGGCCATGGCAGTTTACCAATCGCAAGTAGTATGGCCAACGGGATGGTGATTGGGGGGCCAAAGTGCTGACTCGTGCGCGCGTGATGAGAAGAGCAGGGGCGGCAAAGGCGAGCTACTGCTACTCTTGTTGTCGCTGGCGGTGGTAGCGGTAGTGGTAGTGGTGATGGTGGTGGGCATGATGAAGATGATGATGAAGGTGGTGGTGATGGTGACGACAAGACTTGGGATACGGCAAAGGGCGTTGAGAGAGGGACGGGCAGGCACAGGTACGAGCCGCGTGAAGCGAGGGCGGTGGAGTGGAGTGGTGGAGTGGTGGAGGAGTGGAAGCGGGGCGGCGGGCCTAGGTACCAAGGCAGCCACAACATAGTCGGCACAGGCAAACACCAGCTATTCCACGCTGCCGTCCCAGACTAATGCAAACACTCCAACCCCAACCTATTTCGCGGTATCGTTCTGCTTCCAGATGAGTGCTGGCCTCTTTTGTTCATCCACCACCATTAGGGGGGCAGCCTATCGTAAGCCTCGATGCTCGGCCCTACAAGGCGTCCAGCTAAGGACATTTGCATGCGGCCAGTCGCACACCAAAGACGAAGCCGTCTGATGCCTCTCGCACAGCCACGGTACAGCAGCAGCATTGCCTACCACGCGACTTGTTTGGAAGCAACCAGGATGGCTCACACGTGTCTGCGCAAAATGGCTCGCCTAACGTACCTGTCCTCATCTCACTTACTATCCCCGAGGGGGGGCCTCGCAGCTAAACACCAGGCCGGGCAATGACGAGAAACATGCACCAAAGCTTAACTTGAGCCTCTTCAGGCACCCCACTGACTAGACTCCCGTCCCTCCAATGGATTCCCACCCATCCCACTCGCTGCGGACAAGGGCCGCCCCAAAGATAGCCTATTCACACAAGACTACCGCGTTCTGGCCGAGCGTTCACCCACGGCCTTAGCGCGTCTTTGATCATGGAAACGGCCTCCGCCTACTCGTGGACCTGGATTTGGGAAGGATCATGGGGCCGAAGTAGGAGATCATGATGCTGCTGCGAAGGCAGTGACTCGTGAAGGTCAACAGGCAGAACTGCACTAAGGAATTGCACAAGCGTGTGCTGAGATGAGAGGCCTCATGGCATATATAAGACTTGAGACGGAATGCCTCATGGATCATCAACAACAATGGCCAACGTGGATATCGCCCGGTCTTCAGCGCCCGTCGTGGCATCCTTTGAACTGCAGTCTTCGCTCGCCCACTCGCATCCCTTGATAGTTTCCCACGCCCTATCCGTGGCTGAAACCTGTTCCCTACTGCTTGAAATCTACGACTTGGCCTACAAGTCGCTATACCATATTCACGCCTTATCGACGATGTCTCGACACTCCAGCACAGATTTGAGTCCGTCAAATTCAAGTCTCCAGGTCAATGACTGTCAGAGAGCGCCACCACAGCCAGACCCGGAACCTGCCGCACCACCGTATGTACCAACCAATCAATTGTCCGAACATCTGCAGATGTACATAATTTTAGCTGCGTGGAAAATGTCCAGTCATACTGACTTGGTGCAATTAGTATAATCATTCTTGCCCGAAGTGGTAATAAACGAGCAGTGCAGCCTAGACCCCAAATTCAGGTACCGGCCCCTGCTGAACAGGGTCTTCGGGCTCGCCCTCCTACGTCATCCTGGCCGTACGTAGACCCTTGCCCAACCCACGCCCTATTGACTTTCCCTCTCTTCCGCCTGATGCGATTCTGACTTCTTGTTTCCCACCCACTACAGGCAGCGACAGACGTCACGCTATAACCTTAGAAGCCGATCCAACAAACAACCATTATCCCGCCCGCCAAACAAGCCCAGACCCCAACCCGAACCACATCCTGCTCCTCCGTAAGTCACATGGCCCCGACCAATATCAAGAGGGCATACAAATATGGCACGCGACACCATCGCGCTCCCTTTTGCACACTCGATCTCGATTTTTCCGACTACATCCGTCGTATATTTTTCTTTTTACTAACGGCAGACTGTAGTGTCATAATCCTCTCCAACGAGCAACAACAACAACAGCAGCAGCAACAACAAAACCAAGCACCTCCTCCACTCAACCCTATCTCACCCTTATCTCCAGTACCCACACCTCGCACACCCCACACAAACACACCATCACACAGTGCAATGGGTTCCAAAGTCAGCAAAGTGCGCGAGCGAGCTCAAGATGGCAAATTGCAGCCTTCGCAAGAACAGCTGGATAAGGAGCAAATGAAGGAGCCCAGTAACTACTACACGCATCGCAGCAAGAGCATGCGCAGGAAGGCGGGAAAGGGAGGTGATGCAGGCGGCAGCGCTGCTGGCGCTTCGGGGACCGCCTAGCTAGCTAGCTAGCCAGCTAGCCAGATAGCTATCTGAATCAGGCAAGCAGGCAAGCAAGCAAGCAGGTTAATTGTTGGGTTCACGTCCTATTGGACTTGGGGCGGGAGCTGCCAACAGACATGGGTTCGGGGGGCGGTGTGGGGGGGGGGGGAGTAAGCCGGCACAAAGATGGTTTGGTGCTGGCGAGACGGGCCGAGGTCGACATTTGCAATCGAGATGGGCCATGACTGACGGGACGGGTTTGTGCTTTCATTGGGAGGTATAACTTTTTTTTGTTCTTCGTGTTGAGATATTTGTTGATAGAGGTACCGCTCGGAGTTTTTTCTTTCTTTTTCATTTTTTTTGGTCAAAGCTCAGCCAGAACCTGGCTGCCGTGGCCATTGGCGTTCTTCTCAATTTGCCGACATTTTGGGTGTGGGCAAAAGTCCACTCAATGCATCTTTTTTCTTGTCCATCTTCTTCACAAAACTATAATTAGTAAATCACCTCAGCTAATATCCACATCACCTTCCATCTCTCCCGCTCACTCATGTCAGCAGTGAAAGAACCGGACCAAATCGCCGGACTACTTGCGAACATCCATACCGTGGAAATGTAAACATCACAATGACAACACGAGTATTCCATGTGTTTGAAAAAAAAACTTCTTGAATTACATTACTTCGTTCAGTCCTCTAACAAAGACAGTGTTTCTATTTCAAAACTAGAAATTATTTACTTGTGCATAGTAGAGTTGCTAGCACTACCGCCAACACTGTAGCTCTCAGGCGGGCCATTGTGGCTCTTCATGACGCCTCCGAGATCGAGCACAACTTTCTGCAGCACAACGTTCGCCTCGACAAGCCACAGCTTGAGCGTGTGCTTGCCCGGCTCGAGCGCACCGTGGTTCGTGGTGTTGTACCACGCGCTGTCGGCGACGGCAGTGCCCCAGTTGACAGGGAAGTTGGGCTGCTTCTGGTCGATAACGTACTGGCGACGGACCTGTGGCTTGTCGTCGATTTGCGCAATGTACGCGAGCGGCTTCTTGGGGTTGATGTTGTGGGTTGGGGTGAGGATGAGGGTGAGGTTGACGCCCTTCTCTTTAGGTAGCTTAGTAAAAGTGACAAAGTCGTATTCGAGGCTGGGGGCGCTGGTAGAGTCCAGACCCTCGGCGAGGTTGTCGGCTAGCTTGACGGCGGAGAGGGTGCGGCCGTATTTTGGAAGGATCCTGTAGGTGTGGTTTGAGGAGCCGGGGGTCGAGCGGGTGTAGTGCTCGGCTTCGAATGCAAGTTGGCCAGCAGACTCGACGAATCCATCGGTGAAGTCGGATGGGATGGAGGTCTTGTTCACCATGAAGGTGACCTTGGGTTTACCTCCCGCGGTGCCAGCGTTGGTGGAAGAGCTGAAGTTGAGACTGCTCTGCGCACCGAATCCGTCCTGTACCTTGGTCCAGTCTACATCCACGTAGACGCGGACATCTGGGTCGTTGGGCTTCATGGTTCCCTTTGCTTGGGAAAGCGTCACGAAAGGATCGGCACTGATGTTCCATGAGTACTCCTCTGTTCCACGGTGCGAGATTTCGATCCAGCGCTTGGGAGTGAAGGGTGTGATGTCCGGCAGGGTCAAAGAAGATCCGCCGTTGCTGTGGTACATGTCGTCACCAGGGATACTGGCGTTGGAGCCCTGCACGTGGATGGCCATGTCGCCTGCTAGCGAGCGCTCCCATACCTGTACCCAGCGAAGGTCAGGGGTGGACTGGCGCATTGGTTGTTGCCTATTGAATAGTCAATATCGTTCAAGGTAGGTTCTCGATAGAAAAATCGCAAGCTTACCAGTATCCTTGGTATCCCAAGTGGGTCTGATCCATCATGTGATTCCACTTTCCGTTCAGCATGGTGTGGTATTGCTTGGTGAGGTTGTAGTCCTTCATCATGCCATCAATCACGCGCTGCATCCAGGCGTTGGCGCTGTTGCGGCCCTGTTGTGCGTAGATGATATTCCTGGCTCCAGCAATCTGGATTGCAACGTGGTTGCCACCAGCGAGCACACGGTTGAGGACAATCTGGTAGAAAGCGGGCCTCTGCTCAGCGGGAAGAGCATCGTTGATTGCACTGGCCTTTTCGGCGATATCTTCCCAGCGGGCAAGAATTTGATCAGCCTCTTCATAGTTGAGAACACTGTAAGAAGATGGTTCAACCCATTCGAACTTGCGCATGTTAGAAAGCGCGCCATATTCGTCAAGGATGTCTGAGATGGCCTGAGCGTGCTCGGAACCAAAGTTTCGGGCCGCAAAACCAGTAAGCCATTCAGGAACAGACGTCTCATCGTAAGCGTCGATGTCGTAGGCAATGTCAAACCAGTGGCTGATTGCGATTTCCGCAGGCTTGATGTCTCCAACGTTGACAATCCAGATGCGGTCCGCGTCGCGATCCTTGGCCAGTCTCATCTGGTCGTAGGTCTTCTGAAGCTGGATAGTGTCTTGCCACTTGTAGTTTCGCGAGTCACCGACGTAGTCGAAGTGATAGTAAACACCGGCACCGCCGGATCGCTTCTTCTCATCGCCGACAGGAAGACGACGGATGTTTTGCCAGTTGTCTTCGGTCCAGAGGAGTGTAACCCAGTCGGGAACTTCCATACCCGCCTCGAAATAGTCCTGAACTTCCTTGTACAAACACCACATCTGGGGAACTTCAGATGCGTTACCATGAACCTTTGTCAAAATCTCCTGCTGTGCTTGAACAACAGCCTCGAGTACTCCAGTTTGAACATCTGCGGACATGGCTGTATCGTGGTATCCTCGCATACCGACTGTAACAACATTCTCATAGGGAGCAGCACGCTGGGCGCCCTCCATAAAGAAGTCATAAAGAGTCGCATTGTTTGTGGCCCATGACCAACCTGATTCAGAACCCTTGGCCACCTTGCTCCATTCCTGGGTAGCGCGGACCATTGGCTCAGTGTGTGATGTTCCCATTACGATACCGTATTCGTCAGCCAGAGGCTGGTTGCGTGCGTCGTCTACGTTGAACATGCCGTTCCACATAGCCGGCCAAAGATAGTTAGCCTTTGATCTGAGCAGCAGCTCGAATACATGGGAGTAGAATTGCGCTCCAAAGGCAGAGTTGTAGGGAGACATGGGGTAGCGCTCGTTGACCCAGCCGGTCAAAGCGGGCGCCTCATCGTTGATGAAGAAACCACGATACTTGACAGAAGGGCTTTTTTGGACCTTGGTAGTCTTGAGTAGGTAGATAGAGTCGTGCTTCTGGGCTGGCACGTCGGCAAACCAATGCCATGGAGATACGCCAATTTGCTCAGAGACATCGTAAATGCCGTAGATGGCACCACGTCGATCGCTACCTGTTAGGGATTAGCATCCAGAATGGTCGGCTGTTTCAGTGCACGTACCAGCGATGACGAGCGTTTCCCCAGTCGTATTACCAGCGTTCTGCACAACAGCGCTTACATACGCTTCCCATTGACCTTCGATTCCGCTGACATCGAGCTGGCCACTTGCAATCAAGCTATCGATTAGGCTTGAGTTGCCAATGGTGCCAACAATGATGGTGCCTGTAGAGGAGGAGTTTGCTGCGTTGCTGCCGCCAACACTCCAGTCCTCACTGATGCCTGTGACATTGAAGATCATGGAAGCGTTTGCGGTCGCTGTACCAGAAGTCTTCAGGGTACCATTGGTACCAGTAACGCGTCCGAAGTCGATGGCAAGATCATGCGCCGCACGCAGAACACCAGGCCAGTCTGCAGCATCGGCATGAATGGTTACTGGAGAACCGCGAGATGCAAGAAGAGCGGTGCCATTGCCGTTGGAGGTAGAGATGGTAGGTTTGCGGAAAGGCTCTATGGCGGAGGCAGAGCCAGCAAAAGCAACTGACAGCGACAAGGCGCTGAGTACAGTGCGGGAGAGGCGCTCCATGGTGCTTGGACAGGAACTTGAGCAGACGTCCTGAACGAAGCCATAAAGACGTGGAGATACCCTGCTTTTGAATGCTTCCCCCAGATCATAGTCCCGTGATCTGCACGTCTACCCCGTTGCCCTCAATCTCCACCAATCTATACCTTTAAGAACTAGTCACTGTGCATGTGGCAAATGGTGCTCCAACTCTCTGCTAGTAATAAAGCAACCTTCCATGTAGATCCAGGAACAGCGGGTGTCCCAGCCCGACCGGCTGTAATGTAAGGCTAAATTGATGCGACGTACATGATCCAATCCTCTTTGAGCTGGACTTCTTCCAGAAGAGCAGACGAAGCGACCTTGGCCATGTAGGGAAACGAGTAAAGTGCATCATGGTGTAAATATACGATTGAGCGATGATGGGCGATTGATATCGATATTCAAGCGTGGGCGCTGTCACCATTGAGTAATGAGAGAATTATTCCGGGTGTTCTCTCGCGCATCTTCTTCGGCGAAAACGACGACAAAGTGCAGGTGACCCTGTTTTTACGGAGAATTACAGTGTGAATAGAGAGTAAGAGGCTTGGGAGACGGGTTCTTGGGCCATGGGGCGGCTCCCCGCGTTGGGGTGAAAAGGCTAAATGTGCATTTCTCCCCACAAAGCGCCGTGCCTGCTTGGGCTAGTCTGTGGACGCACGCCAAGCATCTCGAGAAAAAAAACGTCGGAGAGGGCAAGCCGAGAATTAGCCAGAGTAGCCGTCTTTGCTCGTGGCTCCACCACAGCAAGAGTGGAACATTCCGCTGCGCGCTCACCTCGTCCCGTGACCAATACTCGGAGCACGCTTGTCCGAGGTTGATTTTCTCTAAGCCCAATCGCACAGCATTGCTTGTATCCGAATCTCCGCTCCCATCTTCGCCCCACGCTCCCAGGAACGACCTCCGCAATGGCTCAAGGCGCAGTCAAGAAGACCAAGGCCGCGGCTCCTAAGAAGTAAGTTCACATCTCCCGCTGATGCCACTGTTTCCCGCGCGCCATGCCTAAACCTTGCGCACGTCGTCGCAATCCCATCTACCTTGTCCCGACTGCTCGATCTGATACTGACCATATTTTCTTTTCACTCTAGGCCCTCCCAGCGTGTCCAGCACGGCGCCCGTGTCATTAAACCCAAGAAGGCCTCCATCATCTCACAGAACAAGATCAAGCACAAGAGTAGCGCTGGCCTGGTCGGGCAAACTGAGAAACTTCTGGCGCAAAAGGCTGGACATTTGGAGATGCTCAAAGGAGGCAAGAAGGACAAGAAGGAAGGCGGGGATAAGAAGAAATCTGGTTGAAAGGGTTTCAGAAATGTCAACCACCTTCCCAGGGCACTGCACGAGCAAGCTGTTCTACGTTTGCAGGCCTGACATGCCCTGAGCCTCCCTCGGCTCGCTTTGGACGTAGCAAAATGCAGAACTAAGCAAAGCGAGGCCTACGAATGCCGAGGATTGAGCATTCAATAATGCGCTCCCATCGAGAGAAATCTCTGACTTCTACCCACTCACACTCACCATACAGGAGCGCATTGAAGCAGGGTGAACAAGGGGCCAGAAAACCATCTTGTTAGCATATGAGATGCTTTGCTCATCTCATTGGAGCTGTAACGTAGTTTAGCCCGAGCCGTGCCGTTGACCAAAGAAACAAAAAGAACCTTGCCAACTAGAAAGCTCCTCAAATGATTCCAGCTCGTGCAGCTTCACCTCCTCCAGCGTCCACAACCGCCTCTCTCTTCATTCCTCTACCAAGACCGCCTTCACCAACCCCCATTCGGCGTGCAACATAGCGCTGCGCCACAATGCCCACACTGAGGTTGATGGTCTCTTCCATCCACTCACTAACCCACTCCCGTGGATCGACTCCTCCACTCTCAATGATTTCTGCGATTTCTTGCGGTACTTGGCCTTCCTCGCCCTCGGCCTCGGTATTGGCGGGCGCGTCCAGCCACTCTACCCACTTGGCGGGAATCGATTGTGAAAGGCCCTTGAAGCTAATGCTGTGTATGGGGTCATATAAGTAGATTGCGAATGCCACCTGCTCTTCGTCCTCGTCCTCGTCTGAATCATCATCCGAGTCATCTGAATCGTCATCGTCATCTTCCTCTTCTGCTTTCTCCTTCTGACCTGCGGATGAGGCTGCAAACAGACCCTCTTGCTGTGGGTAACTGATGGCCTGGATTGCAATAAATATGTCGCTGCTCCTCACAGGGTTGGTCTCACTCAGAACTTCCGTCGCTTGCTTTGCGGCTGCTTCTATGCCTCCTCTGGCGTTGAAAAACTCGTTGGCATAGGATTCAGCGCTCACTCGGGCAAGCTTGGTGCCTTCAACGAGCCCTTTGACTACACTCAAGTCGCGCTTCTCTGTGTGGCGCCACCATGGACCGTCATTCCAGCTTCCACCGCCACCCCGGTATCCCTCTAATGAACCTCGCTGCGTTGACTCGGAGCCGCGCTGGACAACCATGAGGTCGCCGCCTTCTACTTGTGACATGACCCCAGAGAAGGTTTGGTAGATGAAGGGGTCGAGGGAGGGGTAGCCGATGAGGTCGTGTGTAATGTGAATCTGTAGCCGTTCATGCTGAGAGATTGGCGGTGCGAGTGTGTTTAAGAGGTTTGTGAAGGTGGGTACGGCACGCTTGCCAAGCTCGCCGCCTGTAGTCTGTCAGTAGGGTAATGGTGTGACTTGGTGGCTGCATTCGTACCAATGCCACGAAGGGCGCCGACGTTCCCTCGCACTTGCTCCGCCCATCGCTGGGCCTCTTGGTTCTTCTGGATCTCTTGGTAGGCCGCCTCGGCTTGCTTCCGCGCCGTCTCTGCTGCTGCAGTGGCAGTCGACACAAGCCCTCCCCATCCGCCTCCCCACCATGACCCTCCTCCAGACGAGCGTTCCTCTTTTGGCTCGGACGCTTGTGCTTTGGCAGGTTCCTCTTTGGTCGGCACAAAGCTCTGGTGGTAGGAGCGGGTGCTCTCGCCGGACTTCCTTGGTGCTGACGGCCTGTTGTCTTCGCTTGTGCGTGCTGAGCCGGTGGATGAGGGTGTCGCGACGCCTGGTGCCCGGCGGTTGCTGGAGGCGGATGACGACGCTACTTTGGGGGTGTTGGGGCGGCTGATCTGGCGAGGCACGGCAGACTGTGGCGCCTTGCCCAATTGCTCGAGCTCATCGAGGTCTTTGAGCGCATCGTCCTCGACCTCAAACTTCTGGCGAGGCGCACGAGTCCCTCTGGCATGCTTGTTAGGCGGGGGTGCGGGTGCCTCGGCCAGCTTCTCCAGTTCGGCGAGCTCTTCGTCCGCCGTCTTGGGGGGCATGGCGGCTCAAGAGAGAAGAGAGAAAAAAGAAAAAAAGAAACACCACAAGGCAATGGCCGAAGAAGGCAGAGCAGACTCTGGGTGCAGGCAGAGATAGTGTGCGTGAGTATAGTTACCGTATGCACCCACGGCGGCCGTACGTAGAGACGTCGGCGGATTGTCTGGACCATCTGACAGGTACATGCTGGTCAATTTAGCGTCAGGCCCGTCATTGGTTGGGCGACCATCTGCCAAGCGCATCATGGTTCGCTTTTGCTGTAGCAGCCACGACCCCGAGACAAAGATCATCACACGCCGTATCGCGTACTATTCCATTTGGCATTTTCTTTCCTTGATACCCTCTATCTGCCGCTTGCGCCGGTTTGCGCGACCTCGTTGCTGCGGCATAAGGTTTTGTTCGCCTGGCCGGCCTGCAGTTTTGCGTCTCCTTAGCAGGCTTACGATTCGCGCGCTACGCCTCCCTGGGACCCTCCATGGAAGCATTGCGTCGTCGACACATGCGCCGTAATCTCAACCCGACGCAAATTGTTGCTCCTGTGTCGCTGGCTTGCCCCAATGCCCCTCTCCAAGAATGCGCCTGCGCGCTCCTCACAGCGCAGGAATTCGCTGCAAGACGACACGCCTACCCGGACCCGTGGTCGAGGAGCAAAACCAGCCCCATCAAAATCAGATGCTCCAGAGGGCGTCGCACCAAACAGCAGTCCTACTAAACTCAGTCCCACCATGACGAGGAAGACGACTCGTTCAGCCTCAAACATTTCAGGTAATTCGCTCGAGGCTGCATCCGACATCTACGCCTCGTACGAGCATCCCCTGTTTATGGTGTTTGGCCTGTCGCCCGAGTTTTTCAACAACCTCAAGAAGCATCACGGCAAACTCCCAAAAGAGCGGAAAATTATCGTCGGTTCCTTCACTGAGGGCTCCCCTACTCCAGAAGAAGATGCAACTGAATCTGAAGAAGAGAGTGCCTCAGAAAGCGAAGATGACATGCCTGTGGCGCCTCAACCTGCGCCAAGAGGCCGCGGTCGCGGTGGTCGAGGCTCGCGCGGTGGACGCGGTCGAGGCGGCCGTGGACGAGGCAGAGGCGGACGCGGCAGAGGAGGCTTTGGAAAAGCGACTCCATCTTCTTCTTCAAGAGCTCGCAATGGTTCTGCCATCTTCCCCTTCACAGATGGAGATGATGCTCTGTCCAACCAGAGCACGCCGATCAACAATGCCAAGACGCGATCACGCTTGGATGGTAGCGCGTCAGAATACAGCTCAGACGATGACAATGAAGAAGCAATTGAAGATGACGAAAGCGAGCCTGATTACGATGGCATGGACGTTTCACAAAAATCCCAAGGAACGCCACACGGCTCTCAACCGCCCGACATGGACGATTCCATCCATGCAAGCGCACACATGTCGGGACCGGCGCCTGACTCCAAATCCGAATCAACAACAAAGACATCCAACAGACTTGGTGTTCCCAGGATTGCCTTGTTGCCGCAGTCAACATCGCAGACACCGAGAGATTCTGCATCGACGCCGGCAGAATCCGCTGTTCCCAAGTTGCTCGACCCCGAAGAGGACGTTCTCTCAGACTCTGACCTTCCCGATCCATTCATTTACGACGCGCCGTCTCCAGTTGAGGCCGATTGTGAGGACAGGGCCGACTTTCTTTTGCAAAAGCGTTTCAAGCCAATGGCAGATGTGCAGGCTGCCATTGCCGCCCTGACCAAGTTCCCTGCCTCTCAAAGAAGTACAGAGAATCTCTATGCATTAACCGAAAACGCACAACACATTCTCAAAGCCTGGCAAGATGAATATCTCATGTTGGATGCAAGGGTGGGTGTAGCCTGTAAATTTGACTTGTTCTTGACTAACAGCCCCAGACCGCACCCCACATGCACCCGGCCAAGAAAGCTTGCAATGGCGGGCGAATTCCATTGGGACCTGAGGTCTTCGAAGACATGAAAGAGGCGGATCTGTATGGCTACACTTATGATCCCAAAAAGCCATTAGGATGTCAGGACCCCTGGGCTCAACGACCAGGTGCAGAAAAGGGTGGCCGCAGAGAACTTCGAACGCGCCGAACCCGTGACATGTTAGAATCAGCAGCCCCAAGCGAAGAAGAATACGAGGACGAGAACGATGGTCGCCCCTCCAAGCGACAACGAAAGGCCCCCCGCAAATTTGATGGCACTGAGGTTGCCACAGGTGCTACCACGCCAAAGAAGCACAATGGGTGGGGTGGCGCACGTAAGAAGGGCGTCAGTAGGTTTGCCAAACCTGCGTCCGAGACTCCAGAGCCGGAGTCAAGGCCTGTGAAACGTGCAAGGGCAACAGCCAGTAATCTGCTCCACCAGCGTATTCAGGAAATGCGGGAAGAATCTATCATCGGAAGCTCCGGAGACGAAGAGTCCTCAGCCGTGGATGTTGATGAATATACAGAAGTCAACCCCAAACGCGGGCGTCCGGCTGGTAGCAAGAATTCCGCTCGACGCAGCGACTACGGAGTGAAGAAAGGCCCACGCAAGAAGACAAGCGATGCAGGCACGCCTGTACCGTCCGCACATGGCCCTAATGCACCACCACCTGCACTTAACTCAATGAGTGAAGGCCAAGGTCAGTTTACCATTGAAACCCAGCCTTTTGCAGAAAGTACACCCTTGATGGCACCGAACTCTGCTGAGACGGTTTTCCAAGGCACGCCGCAAAATTCTGCACCGCCTCAAGAGGTGCCGCTGGTGCATCCGAGTGAGTCTAGTACGCCAGATGCGTACATGCTCACTGCACCGCTAAGTCAGTACACCAACAATTATGTTGATGAGTCGACACCTGCCTCAGGGTCGAGAAGGAAGCCACGCGTTAAGAGCGAAAAGCGAAGTCAGTCGATGACTATGTGGTGGGCCGAACGTAAAGCCAAGAAACGAGAGCAGGACGAGAAGGAAGGCAAGCCAGCGAAACCTACACCGTCAAGGTCAAATTCTGCAAGTCGAAAGGGGGCTAGACAATCTGGAGGATCCGTGGCTGCTGCAACACCACAGTCACAACAGCCAGAGTCGCAGCAAGCATCTCCAGTTCCCCATGCACAGCACGCTCCTCCGCAGCACGCTCCTCCGCAGCACAGTCCTCACCATGCGCCTCCCGAAGCATACCTTCATTATACACAAGGGCCACCTGGACCACCACAGCACTACATGTATGTCTCTGCTCCAGGGCCGCCACACCACATGATGATGTCTTATTCGCCGCTTGCTGCGCTTCCAACTGGCTCGTTCCCAGGCCCATTTTCGCATCATCCACCACATCACCAGCAAGGCATTCCTCTTGCCCAACCTAGCTCTACAGGTGGACCGTTCGGAGGTGGGCCACGCCAACTTGCCCCGGCACCCACGAACATGCCGACCTATCCTAGTCCATACGGCCCGCAGAGCCCGGCCGGCGGGAGACCAAAGAGCCGTGGTCAGTCAATACCCAAGAGTGCTGGAAATGGACAGCAGGCGCTGGCGCCAGCACCGCCTCAGCAACAACAGGGACAACATTCTCAACAGAGCCCACCAATCTTTACTCCATATGTGCCTGTCAGTATGGCCGGGGGTATAGGGCGCGAAATGCCCTTCAAGGTCATGGTCCCTGGGCCCACTCCGGAGAGGAGGGAAAGTCGTTAGGTACGGCTGCTTGCTGAAGGTACCAAAAGTGGGAAGGTCAGGGATGAAAGCGAAGACGAGACTTGGATGCTTGTATAGAGGGCGGGGTTTTTCTGTTTGGTTCGTAATAGGAACTCCAAAGCGAAGGTGCGATTGCATAATCCAGGGCAAAGGTCACGAGAAGTCCTTTGTATTATAGTTCTTACACTGAAGCGTTGGTTTTTTGTCGGTTTGTATGTCTGCATTGAGCATCGCGTGGTTATGGGCCTTTCACTTCTTTCACTAGGCTGTATATCTCTCTTCAGAACAAGAAATTTAAACATGTTTGTCTTGTGCGATTGTTGTACTCTAGTTGGCTAGTGTGAGACTCGCACGCCGCTCCTTCCTCGACGTTTGCAGGACTGCCTTGGCGAAGCGGTGACTGCGACCTCTCTCACTAACTTCCTCTATCACTCCCCCCTCTCTCTCACTTCCTCGCCCCACCTGCCAACGAAACGACATCCAGAAGACTAAGACTATCCCTTTAACTTTCTTGTTGTCTTCCCATCGAAGACTTCCAGCACTATGGACGAAGACTCTAGTGGTCTTCGAAACGATATCATTACCTCTACCACCTCCTTGGATGACTTTGATTGCTCCTCAAGCATACCCCCGCCTACCAAAAGACCTACGAAACAATCGCATCACGACAGCTTCTTCGAACTTGCACGTTTGATGAAAGAGAAGAAACCGTATACTGCCACTCCAAATCTGACTTCACGCCTATCGCTCCCTACTGGGCCAAACAGTAATTAATACCATAGAACTGTACAACCACACGCTGAGATGATATAGGTTCACACTCTAGCGATCGTATTCTCCATGCAGATCGCGCTTTTTCCCACTCGACGAAGCCCTTCACTGCGCCAGAGACTGTCGCTGAATTTCTTGAGAAGCAAGAGTTTGCTTCTCCAGCCAATTGTTCAAAAGATGCTATCACGGGCCACCTGTTTAAAAAGGAGGTACAACCCCAGAATCGAGTGGGTGACAAAGTTGGTCTCAGCCTTGTAGACGAGAGTGTATGTTCGCACGAGGCACAGCCAACCATATCTCCGAGCAGTGACATAGCGTGTCTCTTAGACCTTGAGCCGCTTTCACGCGTGGTACCAGTCGAGTCATCAACCTCTACTGAATCCCTTCAAACGCCTCGACTAGCACATCAAACCAAGACTGATTACATAACGCAATTGACAAAACCAATATGGCATCCCATGAGGAATGACTTTGATGGTGCAGAGGAACACATGCCAATTCTCGGACTACACATTCCAGCTCTCAAGCAAAGTGACGAAGAAATAAGAAGAACAAAGGACGATGAAGAGTCGCAGTTGTGTAGGCTGAAGTATCGAAATGAAGTTAACAAAGACCAGAAAGCATCAATGTGCCGACTCTTGGCTGAAAAGGAGAATCAGATCAAGACTCAACAGCTAGCACTTGATACCGTGGCTCAGAGAATGGCAGAACTAGAGGCAGAACTTGAGGGCTTGGGAAAAGTGACTGGTAAGCTGGATAGCTTTATAGTTTCTACTTTCATCAAACTGACAGCTGATAGGGGAGCGCGATTTCCTGTGCGGCACTGTCGCGAAACTAGCCCGTGAACGAGATGAAGCCTTGCAAGCCTCTACCAGCGCGCAAGATTATCAAGCCCACATCCAAAAGCTTACCGATACTCTTGCGAAGTTCAAAGAAGTCAACATCGAGCTACGTCGAAAGCTTGTACAAGAAAGCCTCAGTAGGACTACTCTGGAAGATGACAATGAAGATCTCAAAGCCAAACTTCACGAAAAGACCAGTATTTGTAACCGCCAGCGCGACCAGCTAAGGACTACCGAACGCGAACTTCAGATCTCTGAAAAGCGTGTCAGCGATACAAAGAACGGTCAGTTGTTGCAGGGCGCTGCCCATCTTGTCAAGCCACACATGAATGCTGAGCTGCCCAAGACGGTGGTTGCATGCTCCGAGTGCTACGCCAATAATCTGGAGTGCGATAGTAAGGCGAGGTGTCGCAACTGTACCGAACGTGGCGTATCGTGTGGACGTTGGAGGTGCTCAATGAAGCACAAGCTGGGCGACTGTCCTCTTACACCATGCAAACTCTCGCACGACTCACAGGGCTGGCTTATTCTACCAAAAGAAAGGCCTCAATGGTGAAGAATTTGCCTTGATTGGACATGGTACTGCGTGAATGGAAAAGGTGTAAATCGGGTAGTTGCTTTCAAGCGGGTTTGCGAATAGGTCTTAGTAGCCGAGTTAAGGGACGATGGGGAATGCATGGTTTCTATGATACAGGCTACCATACATGCGCATACGTATGGTGGATGAGCCTTTGCAAAACTTTCCATGAGGTTATGAATATCGATATATGCGATACGAGAGTCTCAATCCCATGTCTTGGAGGCTCTGGTATGTAAATCCAAGCACATATTTATTTCTCTTGTCCCTTCTTGCAAGTTTTCTGATCATTGTTTTTGATCTAGTCTTTATCTCCTAATTATGGCACATAAGTATATGCTATTGGAGGGAGGGAGGCGTGATAAGGAATAAATTCAACTTTTAAGCACTGGCATGTGCTCTATATCTATGCTGTTACGTAGTCTAGTGAGAAATCTCATGTGATAAAGCTGCTAGATGTTCAAGTAGCCGCTATAATCTTTGCATCCGAGGAATAGCTTTGGTGGCTTTTTGGATCATATATCTAATCATCTGCCAAATCGCTTAAGCTCCCACATCCTGAGTGGCGGATACACGACCGAAGCCCATGCAAAACCGACAAAGTTGCCCATCTAGAAGGTATTAGCATGAGTTGCCAAAGTTTGCACATGCATTTCACATACATCAGCACCGTAAGTTCCAACTTGTTTGGCGATAGGCCCAATGTACCAGACCTGTGCCATGCACATGATAGCGCCAATCCAACCGATGACAAAGGCAACTAACGCTGCAATGCCCAATGGTAGCTTCTTCTTCTGGTTCCATACCTCCCAGTTGAAGCCGATCTTGCGGCGGAAGATCAAATGCTCCTCTAGGATAATGGCAATCCAGATAGACACCCAATAGCCCATAAGAGCCAGGAAATTGGTAAAGATTTCCGCAAGGTGCGCACGTCCTGCCAGCGCGCAGACTGTGAAGATGATGACGCCAACAGTGTTCCAGATCACTCTTGGTATGGCGGCGGCGTAACGACCGAGAATTTGTGCATCAATCCCAGAAGAGTACGTTGGCACGATGAGGTTGGCGACGAGTCCCAAAGCGACAATCACGCCACAAAAAGAGCCAAAAGTGCCGAGAGGCTTGTATCCCTCCACAATGAGCGCACCTTGGGATACGCCGTACGCTGCTTCCCAGTTTGCATTGTTCGACATGCCGGATGCCAGTCCAATGCCCAGGACAAAAGCGAATGTAAAGCTACACATTAGGCCGATCATGGTCATGCTGAAGATGCTTAGAGACGATGCATGTTCAGGATAGTAAACGAAGTAGTCGGCCGCACCACCACCGTATGTGATCGCCGCTGCAAGAGTAAGGCCAAAGAAGCTGATGCGGTTCCCGACGATGGTACTTGGATTTTGATCGCCATGTGACTTGGAAGATGTGTCGAATCGCGGGCCTGCGACGCCCGCCAAGATGCAGAGCACCACCAGCTGCGGCAGCCATGCCCAGCGCTCGTAATAGTGAAATATCTGGTATCCGAATGTGGTAATTGCCCAAGCAATGACGGCCACGATGATAATGCCGACCACAACGGACATGGAATTTGTCGAAACGGCAGACAGGATTTGGCCTGCGACTACGCAGTCGATCATGCCATATCCAAGCAGTACGATGATGTTGAGTAACACAATGATCTTGGACGGCCACCAACCCGTAATGTACCGCGAGAAGATCATGGTACGGTTACCACTCTTGGGGCCAAATGTGGCTACATAGGCGACTACTAGGCAACCAACCAGTGCACCGAAGACACTCAACAAACAGGCATCTGTGAAGCCGAGAGCGAAAACGGCAGGGCCAAGCATGCCCAGTGTGATGTTGTTCGCTGCCAAGTTGACACTGAACCACATGATTGCGACCTGCGAATACCCCAAAAGGCGCAAATCATGACGTTCGTGGGGCTCGACACGCTGGATGCCGCGGGCCTCGAGATTGTACGCTACAAGCTGGCTCTCGAATGTTTTCCAAGTCTTTTGCCATTTTGCATAGCATATATCATCCTGTCGCTCGATATCGTGAGTCAATGGCGAACTGCTTGCGCCCGGGGCATCTGGTGTATTCCCATTGTGTGACTTCGCGATGGAGTCCATGGCACCGACCTAGAGCCATTAGCAGCAGCCTCTAGATTTGGAAGGGAGCAAAGCATGAGTCCTTTCGCAGGTTTTAACCTGATCAAGTTCAGACCGTATATCTCAGATCGCTGCCATCCACAAAGGAAATGAATGGCGAGCGAACACCGGTCTCATGCATTATGTTACCTGAGGTTACCTTGATCGGGCGACATTCTGCTACTTGGTTGCATCATGGCTGCAATGCCGTACTTTGTTTTGAATTGGGAGTTTGTAATGTAGTACAGAGAGATGAATTGGGAGAGAGGTGCAGGAGGCGTTGATTCAGAAAAGAACCATCACGTGTGGGGGGTGATTATCAGGAAGCCCCGCCCGCGGACATCGTGCCGTCTGAAAACCCCCTGCGCATCCCGCGCAGCCCAGCCGTAACCCCTGTAACGCGACGTGATAATGACCCGCAGTTGTTGTCATTGAATTTCGTGTTGTGGGCATGGCTTCTGCTGCGTACTACTCTAGAGACGGACTGAACTCTAGAAGCGGCGTGAAAAGTCAAGCTTTGAAGAAATAAGCTTGTCAACCGCTGATACGTTCAAGTCAGCCTCTGTGCTAGTTTAACATCACGACTGCACCACGCTAGACATGAGATGGTGGCTATCAACACCACCGTGCGCGTTCAACAAGTCTGCGTGACTCTTTACCGCCTACTACTTCAAGGCTAGTCCATATCACACAGAGTTTCCGCTCGACTTTTGCGGATCGTCCAAAACCGGGGCAAGGGTAACCCCACAACAAGGCAGCATCCACTCTCCTCGTATTCGATTGGAATATCCAATGTCGAGTCCAGTCATGTAGCTTCGCAGCATGATTTCGCGAAGGCTAAACCGGTTGTCGACCATCGTGCCAATAAACATCCCATTATGGTTTTCCTGATGGCGATTTAAATATATGGCGAAGCGCCCTGGCAGTGATACCTTTTTGCAGCTGACCAAATTATCCTTCACGTCTCTGGCATCATGGAGTGGATGAAGAGCCTCCTACTAGCCATCGAGCTGGCGCCAGCTCTAACTTACGCTGCGCCAACAATTCATGGACGCGACACAAACAGCACATGCAGAAGAACCAAAGTAGCAATTATGTATGTTAGATTACATCTACTACGCAGTATCAGCGACTGATCTTGTTTAGAGGCGGCGGCGTTGCTGGCATAACAGCAGCTGTGAGTATGACTTGTTCCAAACGGTCTCTACCTGACTCGGGATTCATCATACTCAAACTTGTATCATCATGTTGACTTCTCTTCAGCAAGCACTGTCCAACCAATCAGTCTCCGACTTCCTCATCTTTGAATACCAGGATCGCATCGGAGGCCGCATGCTGAACACCAAATTTGGCTCAGACTCCAACGGCAATCCATACACGGTCGAACTCGGCGCAAACTGGATTTCGGGATTAGGCGAAAACACCAAAAACGGCCCAGAAAACCCAGTCTGGACTTTCTCAAAGCATGTCAATTTAACGAGTCCCGATTCCGATGCTTTTTCCATTGCTACTTACAATGAGACTGGAGCTGTCGATTACACCAGTATCCTTGATGAGTTTGAAGAAACTTGGACTAGCTTTGAGCAGAGGGCAGGTACGATACTTTCAGAAAACCTACAGGACAGGAGTGCCCGTGCGGGCTTTTGGCAGAGCGGATGGCGACCAAAAGGCGATCCCATGCGGAAAGCAGTCGAGTATTACCTATGGGATTGGGAGACAGCGCAGGTGAGCTCTTACCATAATTCTTGAATAGTGAAAGTATGCTGATTTTATGATCGTGTTACAAAGACACCCGAGGAATCAGGCTTTGTATACGGAATCACAGGATGGAACTTGACATACTATGGATTCTCTGAGGAGAGCAAGTGTAAGTCCTCATCCAAATGCACGCGGAAAATGCTTTTCTGATTTCGGCGGCTTCACAGTCTGTGCTGACCCACGCGGCTTCAGCACGTGGCTCAAACACCAAGCATCCAAATTTCTCCAACCAAATGACCCTCGTCTCCTTCTTAACGCTGTCGTAACAAATATCAGCTACTCAGATACTGGTGTACACATCACCACGTCGGATGGCTCCTGCATAGAGGCTGATTTTGCTATCTCTACCGTATCTCTCGGCGTTCTGCAGAACGAAGTCATTACCTTTGAGCCCGAGCTACCAGAATGGAAGCAATCTGCCATTGCCACTTTCGCGTTTGGCACATATACAAAGATCTTCTTCCAATTTAACGAGACCTTTTGGCCAGATGACAAGCAATTCCTCCTCTATGCAGATCCCACGAACCGCGGTTACTGGGCCGTCTGGCAAAGTCTCTCAACCGAAGGCTATTATCCCGGCTCCAACATTATTTTCGCTACACTCGTGGACGAGCAATCGTACCGCGTCGAAGCGCAAGATGACGAAGCTACCAAAGCAGAAGGTATGGCTGTCCTGCGCAAAATGTTTCCCAATGTTACTATTCCGGAACCGATAGCGTTCACATATCCGCGCTGGACTCAAACGCCGTGGTCGTACGGTTCTTATTCGAACTGGCCCGTTGGCACAACGCTCGAGATGCATGAGAACCTGCGCGCGAGCGTGGGCAGATTGTTTTTCGCGGGTGAGGCTATGAGCACAGAGTACTGGGGCTTCCTCCATGGAGCGTGGTATGAAGGTCGCGAAGTGGGACAACGCATTGCTGGGCAGCTGACTACTGAGTGCGTCAACGTTGCAAGCGGGTGCGGCGATATGAGTAAGTATGAGGTGCTGCATGGTACGACGGAGCTTTGGGAAGTCAATGCGTTTAATGGCATGAGGACGAGTCCGTTCTTTGTTGCTGAGAGTGGAGATAAGCAAGATATATAAAACTAATATGGATACATCTATAACCCAATGAAAGCTCAATGGTTGGCTATCAAATATAATGAGGTATCATGTGAAATGTACCATTGTCGTCTTGTCATTCCCTGTTTATTTTGAATTCAATATCCGCCCATATTGGCACGTGATCGCTGGGCCCTCGTTCTGCCTCACTGTTCATAATCCCACAAGCCTTTACACATCCCTTTTCCCAAAGTCTCCGCCCGGCGATAAAGTAATCCACTCTATCACAGCTAGTTCCCCATTCCCTGGTGCGCGGATAGTAGGTGTACCTCCTCTCTTGTTCATGCATTTTTCTCCAGATATCAATGCCGTTCAGCCCAATAGATTTCTTCTCTTCATCCCTTCCCTCAAGCAACATGTCGTGAAAATCTGCACGATTAACGACGTGGTCCCTAGGAAAGACCCTTAATTTAGGATGCCCATCACGCTCATCAGGAGCAACATTCATATCACCCGCAAGCAACACATCCCAGCCCTGCCGCTCTAGCCTCTTACATTCCTCCATCAACAAACGATGGAACTCTCTCTTGCGATCGTGTCTCGTTCCCTGCACAGCTCCACTACGTGTATCATGATACAAGTATTCTGTTCCATTGACAGCGTAGATGTGGAAGATTGCGAGTTTCGATAATGTGACTCGACATGTGATTTCTACTATTGAGATTCGGCCTTCGCGATCCCAATCAACGGTTCGCACTGTTGTGGTATAAATATTGTTCAAGTCCCTGCGCAAAATGCTGCATACTCCATATACTTTTCCGCTTCCCCGTGGACCCCGAGCATTGTGGGGATCGGTGGGAAGGGTGAAGTGCGCGTCATACAGGGGACCTTTGGAAGTGTTTGAACTAGTCTCTGGGGGCAAGTACGAGTTGATGGCTGTTCTCACAGCATCTTGTGTTTTTATGTCTTTGGATGCGATTTTGACTTCTTGGAGGAAGAGGATAGATGGCCAGTGGTGGCGGTGCAAGAAGGCCCGGAGTGAAGTAGGATATATTTCATCTTTGCTATCCTCATTATGGCTACCTTTTGGTGCCTTGAAGAATGACGTAATTGATGGTTGGAGGAAGGGTGAGATTCCATTGATGTTCCACGAGAAAATGCGGAAGGTGTTTGCTTCCAGTGGTGGAAGAATGGTAGAACTGATGGATGATGTGGTCTCCTGGGAACTTTTCGTCGATGCAGTTGACTTGGTAGTAGTAGTAGTCTTGCGCCGCTTGGCGGGCGGTGGACTAATGGCACGATTCATGAATATCCCATGTCGATATATTGAAGTTTGCAGCCCCCTGAGGGCATCTATAATATTATGTGACGTCATATACCATCGAATATATCAGAGGTGGTACGGGCTGATATGTGCTGCAAGACATTTGCTAGTGACGGTCGATCGCGCGTGCACGTGGCCGGGACGGGACGCGTCAATCAGCATGCTTCACATGCGTTGATTGGGCAGGGATCGGCCACATCATTCATCGACCCCTCTCAACCGCTTAACACTCTAACTTCAACGCCACCCCTCCGCCACTATTGTACTATAAACCCTAGTCCCCAATTCCTCAGCCACACCCATATCTCACAATTCAAATTCCTCTAAAATGGCCTACCAACGCAAGAAGAGCCTCCTCATCGGCATCAACTATGTCGGCAGTAGCCACGAACTACGCGGCTGCCACGCTGATGTAGACAACATGGCTGAGTTCCTTTACTACCGTGGCTACAACAACTCTCCAAAGGACCGTGTTATTCTGACCGACCGTCCCGAAGTCCCACCCGACTCTCCCTACTACCCCACCGGCCACAACATCCTTGCAGCAATGGACTGGCTCGTCTCGGAACCTGGATGCACTCTTTTCCTTCACTACTCAGGTCACGGCGGCCAAGTTGCGGATGTGGACGGAAACAGAACGACGGGTCTGGACACATCCCTTGTTCCCATTGACTTTGAGCAGAGAGGTCAGATTTCAAGTACGATTCTGCACCAGCATCTTGTCACTCGCATGGCACGTGATTGTACGCTCTTCGTAATCATGGACTGCTGCCACTCTGGAAGTGCGCTAGAACTCCCCTATGTTTACCGCTCCGACAGTGACGGCCAGATCAGTTTGATGGACAATCTGAAGACGGGTCTCCATCTTGCAGAAGAAGCCCGCGATATCATCTCAGGTGGCTTTACGTTCGATAAGGTTGGCGAGGCGCAACAGCTTCTTGCCGGAGCCAGCAGCTTTTTCAAGGGTCTCAGACATATGGGTGAGGAGCAAGAGGAAGGGCTTGAACACGGAGAGTTTGCTGACCAGTATGGTCATGAACGGAAAATGGTCACCATGTTCTCTGGTTGTAAAGATGAGCAGACGAGCGCCGATGCGCATATTGAAGGGCGTGCAACCGGAGCCATGACTTGGGCGTTTCTAGAAATGATGAAGACTACGGAACGCCCAAGTTACGCTGAGGTATGTTTTCCATGCTATGGTATTGTGCTTTGCTGACCATCTAAAGACCCTCAAACATACAAGAAAGCTGCTGGATGAAAGCAACTATACGCAGATTCCCCAGCTGAGCTGTGGGCTGGATATTGATCTGGATGAGATGACACTGGTGCTATAATCTTGATGAGATATGCAAAAAAAAGCAGGCAGTAGCCACCAAACATGATCTATTGATGTATTGCCAAAATTTGACATTAGAATTAGAATTATGGTTGACCTAGCGACATACTTCAGTTTGATATTCTATGTGTTCGCCCATGTCATGTTGATACCGACAAAACTGTGCTTTTTTATGTCAGGCAACGGGAACACTGGTAAAGCGCTATGGCCAACTTGATCCAAAGTTTTTCAAGACAAGCAAGCAATATCATAAGGATCAAATAGTGCGTTATGATTCAGCAGGTATTCTGTCAATGTTTTCTTAACTACCCAACGTACTAGAAATCAATATCAAATCCCCCCACGCCCACAAACAGATATGACAGATGACCCCATAACGGCCCTATACACATGCATCTACTTTAAAATTAATCTGATCCTTGCTCCACATAGTAACCGGCGGAAAGCCCGTGAACGAAGTATCAAGCTGGTTCACAAGATCTCTCTCGTGGTGCAAAATGAGCCGACGAGGTTGTGTGACCGGAATGCCCGCAGAATCCCGTATGCATGTGCTTATTCAGTATATCGGCCAAGATGGGCATTGTGAGAGTTTGGTTAATGGACTTGCGCCTATTGCGGAACATGTGTTGGAGGGGCGAGCAAAGGGAGACGAAGATTTGGTGGGTGCATGTGAAGCGACGAAGAAAAGAGAGCAATGTCAAAAGCATAGGAACGCAGACCCGGTGTGAGATCGTTAACGGTGGGACGAGGATTCCTGAGCCCACTGGCAACATGCATTCTACAGAAAGAAACCCACAAGACGCATAGCATGCAGTTGGAATAAGGATTGATTCTCGGTAACGAGGTACATAGCCAGAAAAAACAGCCAATCGTTCATATGTACTTAGATCAGAGGTATGAGTAAGAAAAAGGACGAAACAGACATACAAAAGGTATCCCCAATATCCAATGATAATCCATACACACCAAAAACACCTGTCCCGCTGCCTTTCCAATGCCACGAAGGAAAAGGATTGCGACCAGAAATAAACGCCTCTCGAATGCAACTATTTACCACCCGTCATGCGTTGGAGGCGTCCTCTCAAAGACACCTAGTCCTTGGCGACCTCCGCCCTGACCTCACCCTTGACGTTTTCAGTGTCGCGTTCCGCTTCACCCTCCTCTTTTGCTGCGGTAGTCTCCTCCTTATCGTCAGTTTCTGCCATTTCCACGTCAGCGACTGGGGCTGATGTGGGTGCCATTGTAGCGGGCACAGCAGTGGGTGGTGACTCAGGTGGGGTTACAACGCCTGCAGGAGATGGTTCCCGCTCAGGTGCAGCAGCAGGAGCGGCAGTATCGGTAGTCTCAGTGGCCGCCGGGGGAGCAGCGGCGGGATCAGTCTCAGGAGCAGTCTCGGGGGCAGCCTCGGGAACAGGTTCAGGGGCAGCTTCAGGGACGGGTGCGTCCATGTCGACATCACCATCTTTGTCAACCTCCTGCTCAGCAGCAGCAGGCGTCTGTGTACGCGACTTTGCGCCTGCAGAGGATTGTCGGGTCGAAACAGCGCTTCCGCCATTGATGTCTTCCATGAGATCCAGGGCATCAGCCGGGGCTGCATTAGGGTTGGGGAAGTCGGTAATGTTTCGTCTCTTCTTGGCGCTGGGTTGAGCACGCACTCCGAGGTTGTTCTTGTAATCCTCATCATCGCTTGCATCATAGAGTTCACCGTCATGCTCGATTTGCTTATCACGTTGGCGCTGTGTCATGCGTACATCTCGGTTTTCGTCCGCATCCATATCGTCTTCTTCGTCTTCAGCATCTGAGTCCATTGCGCGACCTAGAGCCGTGGGCACATCTGGGATTGTTGTGAAAGCCTCAACTGACGGTCGTCCTGTTCTGCGAATGTTCTCAATGACAGCTGATTTGATCTTATGCAAATAGTCGTGGGAATTGGCGTTTTCCATATTTGAGGGCCGGACATCAAGTTCGTAGTCGGGCGCAAAGTACTCGTAGTAGTCGTTGAAAGGTAGCTGCTTGGACATTTTCTGCGAAACAAGCTCTCCAGTCTCGTATGCCCAAGTTCGCGCGACATTCCTCATGGTGTAACCGCCACCTCCTAAGACGATGACTGGTACACCAAAGCTCTTGACGTACCTGACACAGTTGGCGTGTCCGTCCATGCTCAAATTGAAGCAACCGAGCCTGTCTCCCGAAAGACTATCGCCACCGCATTGCAGAACGATGGCTTCAGGTCCATAATAAGTCATTACTGCCTCGATGACTGGCTCAAAGATATTTCGGTATGTCTCGTCGGTGATACCGTCTCGAAGAGGGAAGTTGACAGAGTAATTCTTGCCACTACCAACTCCAATGTCGCGAAGTTCACCAGTACCGGGGAAGTATTCTCCATATTTGTGAAACGAGACAGTCATGACACGATCGGTAGTGTAAAAGGCCTCTTCAACACCGTCTCCATGGTGAACGTCGATGTCGATGTAAAGAACACGCTGCTTATACCTAAGCAACTCGATGATTCCGAGGACAATGTCATTGACATAGCAGAATCCACTAGCCTCGCTCTTTTTCGCGTGATGGAGACCACCAGCCCAGTTTACAGCGACGTCGCATTTCCCTCGGTTCAGGCGAGCGGCGCCCTCCATGGTACCGCCAGCGCTGATACCGCAAAACTCAAATAGGCCGTCAAACACAGGGCAATCGTCTCCCACGTTATATTTACTTTGCTCGCGGGTAAATTGCTCCATGTTGTCTGGCGTGACCTTGTGCAGGAATTCGATGTACTCGTCCGTGTGGAACTGCGTCATCTCGTACTTGGAGGCAGGTTTCGCGCGCTGGATCTTGTTAGAGATTGTCGTAAGGAACGACATTCAGGGTCCACCTACATAGATTTCCATCTTTGTGTAGAGGCCGTAATTCATAATGAGACTATGCGCCATTCGTATACGATGCGGCTTCATTGGATGCCCCGCAACATAGGCGTAGTTACCGACGTCGGAATCGTAAAAGTATGCGACCTTCTTTGGCTGCGACGCAGTGCCGTTATTGATGTGGACAGCGCCAGTTGGGCCTGCCATGTCGTTTCCGTCCACCATGTCTGTGGTGGTTGCGCACAACTACGTGACTATATTGTGGTGATTGGGATGCTCTCAAAGCTTTGGGGAGAAAACCAAGCGGTCTTTGGTATGCGCGAAGGGTGTGAGAGTTTATGGAGTCCTCGAGACTGAAGGGTCAGGAAAAAGTGGAGGGGCCTGGGCGAGAGATGGGGAAGCTTTGAACAAAGACGCGGGCATGGAGCATTCGAGCTGCGCCGGGGTACCCCTGCTTAGCGCCGGTACCGGAACAACAGCATCGCCGGATATGGCAGTCGCGCAGTTACGTGAAGCTCCGAGCATCGATAGCTCGAAGCCATCATCGCCCTCGCCGCCGCCTCACCCAAACAACCACTTCACTCACTCGTGGCGGACAACCCCGTCTTTCTCTTAAGCCCTTTGAAAAAGCCTCGTCGAGAAGACCTACTTACAACACCCCCACTATGGACCGGTTAAGCAGAATGCTCGCCGCCGCTCAAGGCATGGGTGGCATGGGAGGGCCGCAGGCGGATACCAACCTCATCGACAACTCGGAAACCGTTTACATCTCCTCACTTGCA